TGCGTAAATAAACTCGTCGCGAAAGAGACGTTTATAAAGCTTGTTCAATATTACTATTAAAAAGTTGTGAAAAATATACAGAGATATGAACAATATTGTTTGAACCAGTCTAGTACATTTCAATTTTCTACGATGTTCTAGAAAAGTTAGTCCTTAAGTCGATTATTTTATTAATTATTTCAACTTTTTGCTGAATTTCTCTAAAATTTTGGAAAATTCTATAATATAGTACTAATGTCACAGTATACATATAAAATGTTATGCACCATTAACAGTAGTTGACGTCATCTAAAAAAAATTAAGACATTTTACTGAAAGATGTAGCGATCCATCATTAAATATTTTACGAAAGTTTTAATCAGTTTTCTTTAAAAATTCTGGTATTCCAGTCATTCAATTTCTACTAGTGTTTAAAAAATGCCAACATGAATATATTTATCCCCACAAAAATTAGATTACGAGTAATCCACAAATCATATATTTTTTTATGATAATTTTGGTCACACCAATCAGAAAACGTTCAATTTATTCCTAAAAGATGGCGCGAGGGAAAAAACACTTGACCGGTTAGAGTTGTTTCAGCAATTTTTTTTAATAAATCGTTTTTTAATTGTTTTTCTATATCCTTGGGGGACACTGTGATCCAAAGAGACTTGGAGATTATCTGATATTACGAAGTACAGAGAATCTCATTCCAAATTTATATTCAATTGTTTGCTCTTTTGTAAATCTTTTATTCTCAACATTTGTTACCAAAATAGACTCATACATTATTAAAAGTTACTCTTTTTCGTGTTTCTCCTAAACATCTGCTTATTCTCTTTTAAGTTTCACTTAATCTTTTGAATAATGTAATCAACGCTACGTTGTTTAAATCCTTGTCACTGCCAATCTTCTGGTAATTAAAATTTCGCTTTTGCAATTTATGATTTGACAATATTATGGCTCAAGTTTTAATCTTTCATTTAATAAAATTAGTTACAGTTATGCTAATTTTTTCCCTTCTTTCTTTAACTTATTTAGTCGTTCTCTTTATTTTCGAGTCACAACTATCCCTTTTGTAGTTTTATTAAATTTTGTTAAATTTATGTCTACCGTAATTTTTTCAGAATTCGTCGTTTCTACATTGTGTCTAAATTTGTTGTTTAAAAGTACCGAATTATATTGATTTACTAACATTTAATGCCACGTTTTTTTACGTCTGCCGTCCCCATTTTCCGCATATCCGAATTTACAACATGTCGAGACCGTTATATTTTTGCTTGATTTAATTTCATTCTATATGCTGAAAAGTGGACATGAATGAATGGACGGGCTTAGCTCGATTTGCATAAAAATCCAGCCCCGGTGATAAAATTGAACCTAAAAATACCCCCTGTCAAATTTCAGGATCTTCTCGCAACTTTAAATGTTGGTTAGAAAATAAAATATTTCCACATTTCTCTTCGCCCGAATTTAGTTCAAAATTCACCGCCCAAATAAATTCCTTCCATAAATGCAAATTTTTTATTTGCATTTCTAACAGTATCGCCCATTCAACCCCGCATGTTTATTTATTTTTATTAATCTACCGAGCCGCGTTATTTGTCGGCAAAAGTAGGATATTTCCCAAGCGGTGCACTTATTTTCATCGAAAAACTTCGATCGCGAAACGATAATGGGACGTGTCAATTAAGGCCTTAATTCTAATTGGCTTTGGAAGTGAGCTTTCCATTAGTTTACTGATTTTTGTAATTACCGGCGTCTTCGAGGAGAATAGATCTTGGTTAAATTGTAGACCGTGCAAACGTTGCCTCCGTATACTTTGTTTGGTCTTTCGTTACATTTCCAACTTGAATTAGACGAGGAAATTACTGCCTTTGTTACCTGATGGAACAGGAAGTGAGCTTTTGAACCTTATTGCTTTTCTAGTTTCATAGTCTATGACCTGGAAACATTTCTTTGAAAAATCCTTTTTTCTATCTTCGAGACAGGATATATTACCAAGGCAAATGAAAGAACTTGAGAATTGTTTTATTCACTCAATGAATGGAACTCACACTTACGGAATAACGCCAGCAATCTACTCCGCAAAGCTCCACTTTTTAAAACACAAAGCTCAAACTTTTGCTCGCGAACTATTGAGCTAAATCGCTTCAACTTTTTTACTCGCAGGCACCAAAAAGAGTTCAAATACCGCCAACTTTAACAAATATAACAATAAAAACGACAATAATCTCTTTATTAACTTACATCAACAATGTAGCTTTTTTTTTAATAAACTTGCTTTTATATTCGGATTATGCATAATGCCAAAGTTTCCAAACAAAAATTTCTGGAAGTTCTTTGTACAGATACTTTATGGAAAAAAAAATATGGTGCCAAGTTAATTACTTCGCAAATTTTTGACGTGACGTCATCCAAATTTTGGTGGTTGACGATAACGTCACTGCATGTTGGAAATTTGGGTAAATTTATACGAAAAAGTGATTTTCAGATGGTGTCTGTACGAACAGCAACAATTTTGAACTTGTACTTGAATTATCCATTTAGCTCTTACGGGAGCTTTAAAAATAGATTATTCAGAAGCACGGTTATCGCTTCTAAAAAAGTAGCGATGTGTTTGTCTGAAACTTGAGTCTTTTTCAATGGGGATAAAACTGATTCCTCCGATTTTTCTCGGGTTCATTAAGATATAAAAATTTCAGTAGTCGCCGCTAATGTCGTTAAAAAGAGCTCGGCAATAGAAAACTGATTAAAAATTAATCAGGAGAAGAAACTGGTTAGTCCGAATTAAAAGATTTGCGAATTTTAATCAAGTGCATATTTGAATACATTTTAATTTATAGCAGATGTTCGTTTGCAAAAAACGCCAGTAAAAAATTGCTTTTAATTATTACCGAAAGAAAGTTTAAAACAAATTTCATTCGTACCGACGAAACTCCATTAAAAGCCGTAAAAATTTAATTATGGAACGTCAATACTACGAAAAGAGACGGATTCGAGCGAAATAATCAATTACTGGGATGCGTTAGAAAAAACTGTCCGAGGAGAAGAGATACGAGGAATTTGAGGTATTTTAGTGTAAAACCGACAAGGAATTTTTACTGTTAGAGGAGATTACAAATCGAATGTTCTTATCAAAAGGCAATGAATAACCATTCAAACCCGGGCTTCCGTTGAAACTATAAATTTATTGCGAGGAAGAGGGAAGGAATGTGATAACACCGAAATAAAGAATTTTTATAAGGCATGGGAAAAACCGCAAAAAATATTTTTTCTAATTTCGATGCCACCGAAACACGGAAAATCTTCGTGGATACAATAATGTGTAATTATTGCTGAATTTTCATAAATTCGTGTCACGTAGATACTTGGTTAAAGCCAAAATGTAGCCACCCGAATGTTTAAAACGGAATATCAGAAAAGCACGGAACGTTTCTGAAATATGAAAATATAATATCAATTCTTCTAAACCGTTTGAAACGATTTCTCCGTGTTTCGAATTGAATTTATTAAAACACTCGCTGTTACTACCGGAGTGTCGCAGGAAACCGGGCTTAGGAATTGGACAAACGGATCCGCTCGGAAATAAAATGTACCGAATATTATTTCAAAATATGTAAAGATTTTACCGCATAGGAAACTTTTTCGTTGGAACGGTCTATTTACAAGAACGAATCTGAGCAGATTTCAATTCGTTCTGGACTAAAATAATGTATAAATTTCGCTCAATTAAAAATACGTTACTATCTTAATTTTGGTGCAAAATTTTACAGTTTGTAAGTACACTTCAAATCGTTCTGAAAATTTTTGCTGAAAATATAGTTTTTAATTTTGCGTTTGATGTACTAACCGGTTTATGTTAATAGATGCCTGCAAATTATAGACATAATAAATTACAGCTAGTACAATGGAAACGTTAATTGCATTGCCACAAACATAATTATATTTTGGAATAAATTTTATTGAATTAGAGTTGTGTGCACCGTGTTAATTCAAACAATAATTGCTAGTTAAATTCTTGAACAAATATTCAAACTTTAAAAACGACTCCCTATCTACAACGTCAACGGCCGGAAATTCCTCCATCGCTTTACTTATTAGTTCTCATTTTATCTCAGATTCTATTTCCTTATAGCGAAGGAGGTCAGATAGGTAAGATCTTATTTTCCATATAAATGAGAAAAGTAGTCTCATTGCTAAAATCCCCGTTCACGATACGATGAACTGATGAAATTTCAGACAAATTAGAGAATGTTTAATACTTTAAACTCGAATACGATCTAGTTAAACGTCTTATGTCTAAACTTGGCAAAAATAGATGACATCACGATGTAATCTACTTAATACTAAAAAGTCTCGTAGCTGAACTATAATTAAACGTTTATGGAAGCAATTTATGATGTAAGTATCAACATGCTGGTGTTAGGAATTTTAAATAGTCTCAAGGATAACGTGAATTGAATAAGTAAATCATGTACAAGGAATGTTTGTACAAATAAATGTGCAGCATGTGTAGAAGTAGAAAAAATTTCAACAAATAAAGCTCTCGACTTGACGGTGAAAACTAAAAATTTCTGGAATGTAATAACAAATACTCGACCTAAGAATTTCAATGGCATGCGGAAAAGTATCGTTTCAGATAATTAAAAACTGATTGCATTTTTCTGCCTTAATACCGCCCAACCCTCTTTCGTTATCGCCCTCCTGACGAACCAGCTAGAAATTATGCAAATAGCATTAATAATTACGCCAGGTAACATCGCTACGTTTTGTTACAATACGTATTTAAGCATGGAAACATTTGAATGCACGAAAGCAGGGTCTTTCTATTCATCCAAAAACCACCATCGTGTAAAGTTTTCTCTGTGATGTAATAAAACACAATACTTTTAAAGTAATTAACCCTTATCAACACAAAAGCGACCTAAATTAAACATGTGATGTGTTGTATGGGGAAATTCTTTCATTCCAGGGGGAACTGACAGTGTGCGGGTAAAAAATGAGAAGAAAATTACCTCGACGCTGGAGTATAGGGGGACCACTCCGTGATCTTGAGCAAAAACTGTGAGCCAGTAGTGCGTTTTGGTTTCTACGTCTAAAACAGCCAGCGTTCTTATGATGCCTGAAAAAAAAAAGATAAATTAGCAAACATTTTTTTGAGATAAATTGGCAAAAAATAATAGGGGAAAAGATTTTGAGGGCTAAATTACTTGCAATAGTAAAAAATCTACCATGTGGTTTTTTAAATTTCCGCTCTAGTTGGCCATGACGCGTACGTCAGCAATGCAATTGAAACGGCTGACGTAAGCGCTATGGTCAACTAGAGCATAAATTTAAAAATCACTCAATACTAGAACAATTTTTGGTAAGATTGTTGTGGGAAGTATTATAGAAAGTAATACTGAAAATTAATCTTAAAATATTGTTTTTTATTATTGTTTAAAATAATTTAATATTATCACTATCTAATATTAACCAGGCACCACAAAATTCTCAAAAATTTTTAAAATATCCATTTTTTATTTTAAAATGGAAAAGAGGTGCTAAGTAGAAGACGTACTATGAAATACACGTTTCATAAGGCATTTTAGAGCACTCATTTCTTAGAAAACTCGTCTGATGACTTCTTTTCTAATTTTGGAATTCGTACTCTAACATAACGCCTCATGAAACGTGTTTTTTACTATCCTATTTTTAAATATCAGTTGATATGTATAACATCATAACATGGGTTATCCTAAAAGTTAATTTACCAAATCTTACATTTTAAATTAGAGACTGTAACACAGAATTTCTAGAAATTTCAGCACAACACTAATATTGACTGACTCAAAAATTACGGAATATTAACTAAAATGGGCATACTCATTTCCTCTAGAAAGTTGGTTACCTTTAGTGAAAAATATATCTCGTATTTTCTTTATAATATACCATGAACGGGTATTTCAAATCGGCGTGGGTAAAACTCAACAATGTATTTCTTAGTAACTCGAATTCACACAACGATTATGTACAAAATAATTTTGGCGCAACTTGTCTGGCTTCTCGTCTATTCAAAGCCACACTCTCCTTTTAGAGGTTTCGTGATCGAGGTCTTTCTGGAATACCCATCGCAGTAAAATAGACTGTTCCATTCTATAACTATTTTTGAGACGTCTTGAACACACAATTCTAAAAAATAGGGATGCAATATCAAACCACAAGTAAGGTCACACTATAAATTTCAAGCGAAATTTACTTAACAAAATTTTGAGATTATCTCATTAAGTGTTCTGAATGGGATGAATAGATGAAACCTGATTACTAATTTACCATGCTCGTGTTCAAAATTTCACAGCAATCAAATTCGTAATCTGTAAAATTTTGTTGTACAACTTTCTTTTCCAAAAATCGACTTGTAGAAAGTTAAAAATATCGATGGAATAATAATCACAGACACAGAAGCATGATTTTGCATATTTTAAAAAGGAGCTATGTCCTTCGTAAAATTTTGTATGATGCTATCCAATTTCTGGCGGAAATAAGTTGGCAAATTTTGAATTGCGTTTTATAAATTTGCTCCTTTTAAATTAGTTTTTACTTTTACAACAATCAGTTCAGTAGTTTCGCAGAGTATCTGTCTAATAAGATAGCAAAGAGACGACGGATAGATGGAAATTTCAATTTTACTTCCTGAGCGTCTATTTGTTTAAGGTCTGTGCCGATTTTATTTGACAGATAATCTCCGAAATTACTGGATTGATTATTATCAATTTTGTACGTTTTTTAAGAATATTAGTAGATGATAAAACACTAATCAAAATGTGTCTTAACATATCCATTGATATTTGATGACGTCACCTCAAAATTTTGCATGGTAAATAAATCACATTCCTGTACTTGTGGTTTATGAATCCGTATTCATTTTTTTTTAATCGTTAAGAGGAACGCTGAGGAACGGAACATTAGCTCAGTCAGGTAGACCTTCGAGCTAATAACGCGACGTATTTTGGACGTATTCTAGGGTAACATTAAAATTTTTATTCTCAATAAAAATTTTTCATACTAGGGAGAAGTTGAACTTGATTAAATTTATAAAAATTTTCAAACAGTTATTGATTTGTTTATTGGTCAGTTAATTCTTGAATTTTTTCATTTGAAACAATTCTCTTTTATTTGAGAAAAACATATACATCACTGATGAAAAATACTTTAATTCAGACTGAATTTGACGCTAGATTATGAAAAAAAAAGTTTTTCCATATTTCAAAAAGTATGTAGATTACAAAAATATTTTACAATGAACCCAACGAGCCTTAGGAATTATAATATTTTTTAATGATTACATTATTTTTGGAAATGTCATAAAAAAATTGACCTTATATACAATTAAATAAATTGTGTAAAAAAAACACTATAGATAACACCAATCGCATTGTAAGAAAAAAACTTGTAAAGCTGCCACTGTCTTTGATCCGAACACACCTTGTTGACTTGTTCATATTTGGTCTAGCACGGAGTGTTACTTCGTACGGAGACTCGATTAATAATTGCTCCAAAAATATGAATGCACTGATAAAGCGCAAGTATGTTTCTAGTGAGTTTTCCGACTTGAAAATGTTCCGATTAACATTTCAGCAAAGATATGTATGTCAATTCTGATATGTGCGGTGCAAAACCAATAATAAAAAATTGGAAATGTCGCCGGGGATTGAACCGCGGTCCTTTCATCTGCAAAGCGGAGCGCTCCTCCCCAGGTCTATGAGTCAGGGTTATGTAGCTACATATTATAAGACTAAAGAAAAACAAAGTGTAACAATAAGAATTATAATAAACAAAAATAAGACGGATTCATACACCACAAATACAGGAGTATATTATTTCATCAAATAAATTGAAATAGCGTTTACGAATCCTAAGGTTACGTCATTACAGTGTTTGTAGGGATGAGGAGACAATTTTTGGTTAGCGTTCGATAGTATCGGAGATCTGTATAAGAAAAACGAATGACAGACTAAAGATCGTGGATCCTAAGAACACTTTGTTCCTCACTTCGTAAATCTGATTAAACATACAACGTGTTACAACTTAAATTATTGATAACCTAGTTCGAAACTACTACCTGCTTAATAAAATATGTAACAGAACATCTGCTAATGGTTGAACATTTGGGAACATCAAAAGTTGTATTACTAAGGACTTATATTTTTAGCTAAAAGGATGGGATTACCAGTATTTTATTATTTTTTTTTTTGGAAGAGTTGGAATAATCTAAATGCAAAGAGTAACGGCAAAATCATATCATATTGCATAATAAAATTAGAGTGTAAAAAAGCTTTGAACATTTCTTTTCAACCATGTTCGCAAATCTGCTGTTATATTAATTAACGCTTGTTGGTGGAAAAAAATGATCATTCCAACCCCAGTACGCACAGCATAATGGAAGGAATACGTCCATTACCATTTTTTTTTGTAAATTTCTGTCTACTATTACCGTTAGTTCGAAGCTCTGCAACATCCGTTTAATTTTTGCAAGTGTAATCAATAGAAAATAAGCCTCTAAAAGCAATTCGCAAAACGAAATTCCGCAAAAAGCCAAACGCATTTGCGAGCGTGTGTAAACTAGGTTGAATATTGCCCTTTAAAAGCAGAAAAAGAATTCGGAGGACTTTCCCCCAAACACAAACATTGCGCGTATCATTATTGCGAGGCTCCCTATGCGCAAAAGACGAATATTTTAAGAGAATGAATACAAATTTTATCATACGAAGATGCTCTTGTATAAGTATGCAAAACAAGATCAAGAAATATAAGTTTAGGACGAGATGTTCGCATTCGTCGCGCGCTTTCCAGCGTATTTCCTTGATCTCGAAGTGAAATGCCTTTGTAAAAGATGAAGTTCGCTACATTTACCGAAAATGTAAGTAAATGTCTCCGGCCCTTAACTGAATACCTCCATCGCCATTTCGAAAAATCAAAAATGCGATGCCCTCGTTTAGCACGCTCGACATGCCGCACCCATATCAAAACCTGACTTCAAAAGGGCTTCGTCGTGATGTAATTTGGTCGACTCGATAAACTTTTCAATAAAAAATGCTTTTTCTCGGATTGCTGCAACCGCGGCACTGATTGTTGGCCTTTTTTCGCAGATGCGTACGAAAACTCCTTTGAGTGCGCTTAAAACATTAAAAAGGCAATTGAAATCCATTAGTCTCGTGCCTTGGCTTGTGAAGCAATTTTAGGGCGCACAAACATGTTAGTTCCGCACACACAGATGAGTTCAAAGCAACGTTACAAATCGAATTAACCCCGTATATGGAATATAAAGCCTACACCTACCTATAATCCGATCCCTCCGAGTCGAGCAGAGATTCGCTTATTATTTACATAAATTACAATATACTACTACAAAATGTCCCATTGCTCGCAGACAAAAAATATTCCAACCACAACCGAAAAAATCAAAACCCGAAACGGTAGCTTTAATACTAACTAATAATCTGGTTTAATTCATACAAGCGGTCTTTTTCAGTTTGTTGAAAACTAGTGTCTTAGGTGTAGTGGGTGTTCACAAGTTACAAGTTTCAAGTTTCAAGTTCACTAAAGTTGTAGATTGTCAAACCGACAACAAAGCCTCAACTTTCTCGAAAACCAGTAGGGACATGGAAATATGTATGACAGGAGTAAGACCCAGGTGTTCAATTATATCTACTTAATGACATTTTTCCAGTGTACGGGAAATGCTGTTTTCCACATACAAAGGGAGTCGGAGGAATTTAACATGTCAGGAAATTCACTCATCCAAATTGTGTGTGTATTAAATACAATTTATACGATTAGTAACAGTTCTTGTAGCTGTTTAATTTTCAGGTGGTTTATAAGAAGCTTTTGTAGAATTCGGTTTCTATGCATACAAGAATTTAATTTAGTTAGTAACGTTTTTTTTTACTTTTTTCCACTAATGAATCACAGACGTGGATTTAGATATTCTGTGACGTATTGCGTTCGTTGCATTAGCGGCAACTTCAGCTACAAGGCAAATTGAAGACCGCCTAAAGCTACACGGATTCATTACTGGAATTCAATGTACTATTCAACTGTAATAAACGATAAGAATGTTTTTCATTACATTTGCCACGTGAT